CAGGAATGACGCTTTTAAAAACTGCCCCTTTAAAGATAGTCAATGCTAAGGGAGACTGAAGAAAATAAGTCACAAGGAAAAGATTAGTCCGAAGGACTAATGGACCACATCTACCATGGCCTCCACCAGCCTGAGTCCAGTACAACTAGATGGTGCCCAGCTACCACCACTGACTGCTCTGACAGGGATCACAACAGAGGGTCCCGGAAAGAGCTGGAGAAAATTGTAGAACAAAATTCTAACTCACAAAAAAAGATCAGACTTACTGACCTGACAGAGACTGGAGAAACCCCAAGAGTATGGCCCCCAGACACACTCAGTAATGAAGTCACTCCTGAGGTTCATCATACAGCTGGATTAGACAGCCCCATAAAACAAAACGAGACTAATGGGGCATTACAGTCCAGGGACAAGGACTAGAAGGCAGGAGAGGACAGGAAAGCTGGTAATAGGGAACCCAAGGTTGAGAAGGGACAGTGTAGACATGTCGTGGGGTTGTTAACCATTGTCATAAAACAATACGTGTACTGTTTAAGGAGAAACTATTTGTTTTGTAAACTTTCATCTAAAGTACAATAAAAATTAAAAATTAAAAAAAAGAAATTAGAAAAAGTTAATGCTAAATGGAGAGACAGTGAAATCAGGATGGATAATAGAAAGAGGGGCACAAAAGGCTATAAATGGAAAATTACAGAAATAGCTAATGATTTGTAGCTTTCATTAAGAGCATGTGAGATGATGAGACGAGGTGATTAGAAAGATGATTTAAAAAAATAAATAAATCGTAGCCCCTCAATGTAAACTTACACCCATTCACTTCCACTGATTACCACCTCTATGCATAATTTAATTCCTCCTAACGTGGAGTCCCTGGGTGGTGCAAATGTTTAACACACTCAGCTGCTAACCAGATTGTTGGAGATTCAAGTTCACCCAGAGGTGCCTAAGAAGAAAGGCCTGGTGATCTACTTCCAAAAAATCAGCCGTTGAAAACCCTGTGGAGCACAGTTCTACTGCGACACGCATGGGGTCGCCATGAGTCAGAATTGACTCCAGGGCAACTGGTTTAACACGTCTTCCCACTTTTGGCCTATTCTGCCTTGTCAGCAGGCAGGGTGTCAAGTGCAGGTGTACAGTGGCTGCTCTTGCGCAACCCGCAGAGCCGTGTGCGTAGCAGGGTGCATCCTGACACACAGCGTTGCTGCGCTCTGGAAGTCAAACCTTTGCTGTTTATCCCCATTATCTTACACTGTCCCAGAAATCAAGGGTCCCACTGCCTATGGGGTTCCCTTTTTATAGAGAAAACACGAAAGCAGACTTAAATGAGGAGAATAAATATTTTCTGTGTGGTTGCCAGCTGGGAAAGCCAGTCTCCTAACACTTGAGATGGGAACGTGGGCAGATCCTTCCACAGGGAGAGAAGCAGCCCTAGCTCCCAGTTCATTGCCAGGCAACACAGAGAAAGCCCCTGGGGTCATTTGTTAAACAGCCCTGCTTGTGTCCTTATGGTGCCTGTGTGCAAGGCCCTCCTAGTTGCACTGTTCTGACAGTCATACTCCCACCATCACCATCTGCCAGACCACGACCTCCCCCCCAGAAGTCACCTTTCCTCTCGAGGGTGGGAGAGCAGGCAGGGAAGGTGACATTTGAGCAAATGTCTTATGGAAGTGAGAAGTTGAGGCAGGTGAGTATCTGCCAGAAGAGTGCTCCAGGTGTCCTTGTAAAATGTGGAAAGCAGATATGAAAACAGAGAGTGGGTGGGAGGCAGGGCAGAGTCATAGGGGGTAGTTGCAGATCATGGGAGCAAGCGTGGGACTAGAATCAGCCCGGAAGGAAAGGGGTCATTTGGGAAGTGGGAGTGGGCCGTTCTAGGTGTCTTTGTTTCCTAGTGCTGCTGTAATAGAAATACAATAGGTATTTCAAACAGAAATTAGTTTTCTTACAATTTAGGAGGCTAGAAGTCTGAATTCCGGGCACCGGCTCTAGCGGAATGTTCTCTCTGTTGGCTTTAGGGGAAAGTCCTTGTCTCACTCAGCTTCTTTAACCCTGAAGTTCTTCTGAGCTCCAGGTGGCAACTATCTTTCCGCATTTGTGCTTGCTTGTCTCTGTATCTGATCTGCTCTTTTACATCTCAGAAGTGATTAAAGACACATCGTACACTGATACGGCCTCATTAACATAACAAAGGAAACCTATTCCACAGGTACAGTGGTTAGGATGCCAACACACATTTGGGGGGAGGGGGAGGGGAAGACACAATTTAGTCCATAACAGTAGGAAAATAGCACAGTCGTGTGAGCTACTGCTGGAGAGAGAGCGAGTGAGATACGGAGAGATGAGAGTACCTTACCAAGCTGGAGTACAGGAGGTTTAAGGAAGGGATGTGCTGGTAAATCTTTAATAAATAGCTCTACAGAAAAAAAAAAAAAAAATCCTAACTTGTAGCATTTGCCCATTTCCATGGTGCAAACACTGCCAGTATGGCCAATTTCAGACTATCGATGTACACTGAACACAAAAGAAGGAAGGGAGGGAGGGAGGAAGGGATGGATGCAAAATGATACCTGTATTTTCAGTTGGATACCTGAGAGAATGAAGATGCCAAGGGCAGAAACATAATTCATCGTGTGAACATGGACAAACCACTTACCTGCTTTGTGACCATGCACAAGACCAGTTGATTCAGGGCCCCAGCTCTTCATTCACAAACTGAAGGTGCTGAAGGTGCTGAGCTAAAGGAAATTAAAAGTTCTATAGTTTGCCCTTCATGTAATCCTTTCCTCCCATAGGGTCAGTGTGCCCAGGGCCCTTCTTAAGGGCTTTCCTCTTTTTTTCTTTTCTCCTGAGGTTGCTCAGGTACCCAATAGTGATGGATCCTCCATATCCTCACTGAAGGCAGGGAGACAAGTGGAGCCAGAAGCTAAGAGGGCAGAGGGTGGGACATCCCAGACTTGGGGGTTCTCTGTACCCCAAATGGCAGCTTAGCTGGGTTTGAAAAACACTCCCTCCTCTGGGGCTGCTGCTTCTGCACCCAGAGGAGACCTGATGTGGATATGTCCCACTACCATTTCAATTCAGCATGTCTGCCAGGCCAGCTCCTCCAGGTGCTTCTTCCTGCCATGGAGATGATTTGCCACCCAAAGCAGGTAACTCTTTGGTTTAGTGCAATTCCAATTACTTCAGTCTTGACAGGTGCAAGCAGGCAAATCTCTGATGGAAATCCCCAAACCTCTTTTGCTTTCCCTTTCCCTTTCCCATATTTGGAAGAAAAAATATATTACATATTTCTATATATGTATGTTTTTATATAATCCTACATTTATATTCATATTTCATTTTGCAATGAATAAAGTGCTTTCTTGTGTGCATCTCACTTGATTGGTTTCCACTACTCTGGAGCTGTCATCCTATTTCACAGATAAAGAACTTGATCCTCAGATATGGCAGGTCACTCACCAAGTCAGACACTTGGCAAATGGCAGAGCTGGGACACAAATCCAGGTGTTTTAGCTGCAGTTTCCCTTGTCTTTTTAGAACCCCTCATTCTGAGTGTGCATGTGTGTACATATATGTGGGTGTGTGTGCACACACAAAAACCATTTTTTATACACTTATCATGTAGATATTTTTTAAAACTATGTTGGGTGTCTCCTTATGCTTCAGTCTGTGGAATTGGGTGGCTCTTCCACCAATGCAAATGAAGGTCACAATTAGAATCTCCACCCAGAGCAGGCCCCATGAATTCATCAGGTATTTCTTGAGTGACTACTACATGCCAGGCACCATCAGGCACTGTGCTGGAACACAGAAGTGGAGCAAAAAGGCCCCCACCCATCACCACATCCCGACTTTACAGTGTAGCAGACATTCTTGAAATGTGACGTCAACCACAGGGGATAGGACAGAAGGGGTGAGGAGCAGCTGCTTGGGATGTTGAGTTTTCTAACTCCTATGCAGGGAGGGCAAGAAATGGTGATTTAACTAAGTGGGTGTCCTAAGTAGGTAATTAATGAAACTGCCCTCATCCCTCTTTGCCCCACCTCTTACTTCCCCTCGCTAAACTGGAATCTGGGGAATCGGCTCTCTAATTATAAAGTCCCTGGGTTGTGGAACTGATTAAGCGCTGGACAACTAACTGAAAGGCTGGCAGTTTGAACCCACCCAGAGGCATCTTGGGAGAAAGGTCTGGTGATCTTCCAAAAGGTCACACCCTTGAAAATCCTATGGTTTGTTTTTGGTTTGGGTGGTACAAGTGGTTAAGTGTTGACTAGTAACTGAAAAGTTGGTGGTTCAAACCTACCCAGAAGTGCCTTGAAAGAAAGTCCTGGCAATCTGCTTCTGAAAGGTCACAGCCTTGAAAACCCCATGGAGCGGTTCTACTCTGCACACACAGTGTCGCCATGAGTCAGAATCAACTCAGCTGCAACTGGCTTTTAACTGGGCTCTCATTACATTTCCTTATAACTCTTAAAAAAGTTCATGTATGAAGAAGTTCTCCAAGATCCATTATTATGGAAAAAAGGAAGCGCAGGATAGTATATGCAGCCTGACACACTTTGAGAATAAAATCTCACTGCCATGGAGTTGACTCCAACTCATAGCGGCCCTACAGGACAGGGTAGAACTGCCCCATAGGGTTCCCAAGGCTGTAAATCTTTACGGAAACAGACTGCCACATCTTTCTCCCCGAGGAATGGCTGGTGGGTTTGAACTGCTTAACTACTGCGTCACCAGGGCTCCTTTGAGAATGAAAGGATGGAGATAAAACATGTATTTATTCTTGACTGACATCATAATAAATAGGTGATTACCTAGGGGCAGTGAAGGGAGTGTATTCTCCATATATGCCTTGTTTTGTTTTGTTTGAACCTTGTAAATGCTATTACCTATTCCAAAAATTAGACACATTTTGTACTAAAGAGAGCTTTTCCTCAATAATACTTTTTTTTGCCTCCCTCTACTCTCCTTACCCCCAGTGCACACACATACACACAAAGAAATAAACCCAGAGTAAATTTTAATAGGAAACAATTTGCAGGTGCAGAATTAGTCAGTGATGTAGGAATGCTGAAACTGTCCATCCCATTTATTTCTTAGAATTGGTGGGCTTGGCAGACACTTCGGTTTCTGGCATCTCTCTGTAGTGAGAAGCTACAAGAAAGAAAAAAAAAATCAAAGTAAATGTATCAGAGAACTTCCTTCTCAGCCTTCTTCACACATGCAGAAAAACTGACGTGCCTGTTTTCTCATAATGTGTTAGCTTCTCTCTGGGTACTATGCCTTTTCCATTCCTCACATAGAAAGTAGTGTCCCACGTTGAGAGGATCGAACTTCCCAGGAACACGCTCCAATTTAGCTCCTCAGATAGGGTTGCCAGATTTGGCAAATAAAAATACACAACGCCCAGTTAAATTTTAATCTCAGACACACAAATTATTTTTAGTATAAGTAAGTCTCATGCTATATTTGGGGGCATACTTATGCTAAAACAAGTTGTTGCTTACCTGAAATTCAAATTTAACTGGGTGTCCTGCATTTGGTCTGGCAACTGTATCTGCACATGCCACCTGGAGGAAGCTGATTAAGTTCAGTTAATTCCACCAGCCCAGAGGGGCAAGAAGTACACAGTCCAGCACTATCCAGCAGAACGTCCTATGATGATGGGCATGTTCTGTATCTGTGCTGTCGAAGAGAGTAGCCACCAGCCACGTGTGACTATTGAGCACTTACAATGTGGTTAGTGAGGAACTGTTTTTAATTATAAACTAAAATTTAAAATGCTGCATGTGGCTAGTGGCTGCTGTATTAGAACAGCACAGCACTGGAAACCGTCATGCTTCTTGCTCCATATCCAGGAACTGGAATTTAAGATCGAGTGGTGATTAAAATGGGATTAACTCACAAGCCCCTGCAGCTTTTATTACTGATTACTCCATTTCTGTGCAGATTTAAGTATATTGTCAAATATATTTACTTACTCATTCTGAGTATTTACTGAAGCTCTATTACATGGGAAAAGTGTGAAGAACCAGAGTTAAGATAGAATTCTTCAAGAAACTCATGCTCTAGATCAGAGTGTTAACTGGATTAAACAGCACCGTGCTGGTCACACACACCAACTGTGTGACCCTTTTCTTTCCATGATTCTAAGCAAACATCTAGTAACCACAGACTCAGTAACATATTAAATGGGATTCATTTATGCATGATACTATCTAGCAGAAAACAAGCCCTTAAAAGAATTAAGGATTTCCTGAGGGTTATCATGCAGCCCTGGTGGTGCAGTGGTTAAGAGCTTGACTGCTAACCAAAAGGTCGCCAGTTCGAATCTACCAGCCACTCCTTGGAAATCCTGTGGGGCAGTTCTACTCTGTCCTATAGGGTTGCTATGAGTCGGAAATGACTTGACGGCAATGGGTGAGGGTTATCATGAGACACAAAGTCTGGAGACATCAGAAATCAGGAAGAAGGTGGGAGTGTGTAAAACAAAAGGGGTTTACTTCCAAACTTCATTGTCTTCCCGGTAGGCAGGTAGGGGTGTAGGCAATGCAATGGTTTATGGGCAGACATTTTAATATAGAAGTTCAAATAAGCATGTGTAGGGTTTTGGAAGGGCATTCCGGGCTTAAACATTCATTCTCTGGTTTTCACTAGATGTTCGAATGCCCTAGGTCCTCTGCTAGTTCCCTACCTCACCAAGCAGAGATTCTAACAGGGAGAGGCAAACAAAAACAAAAACCAAACCCATTGCTATCAAGTCGATTCCAACTCATGGTGTTACAGAGTAGAACTACTCCATAGGGTTTTCTTGGCTGTAATCTCTATGGAAGCAGATCAACAGGCCTTTCTTCTGTGGTACTGCTGGGTATGTTTGAACTGCCAATCTTTAGGTTAGCTGTCCAGTGCAAACTGTTTGCGCCACTCAGGAACCTTATCTCACATTGTAGTTAAAGAATCTTATACTATATTTTAAAGAATCTGAACCAGGTGGTAGAAAGTAACTTGGGGAGAGGAAGGCTACTTTTTTTTTTTTTTTTTTTTACTTTTTATACCTTTTTTGGGTTACAAAATGAACACACTCTTTTTAACACCTCACATACAGATGTTTAAGAAAAAAGTGAAAAATCTCTTCTTATCCCACTTCAATATCATCTCCCTGAGATAAACAATATGATGGGTTTTCTGCCATGTCTATATATTCACTTACTCTCACTGGCAGTGTATGATTCTATTGCACTGCTCATTCTTTTTTGGTAGTTGCATAATATCCCATAGCCTAGACGTCCCGTCGTTTAATTTAAGTCTCCTTATTGATAGTTATTCTGATGAATCACAGTTATAATTGTTTGTTCTTCCCCCCCACCCTCCGCATTACATTATTTCATATAAGCTTAGTTAGTGGAGCAGTTATTTCTAGACAGTAGACACACCCCCCTCCCAAGTGTCTAATTAAAAAATTTTAAGAAATATTGTCAAGACACTTTCCCAAAAATTTGTATGACAGTAACAACTCTTCCTCATTCTCAGCAGACCTGAGCGTTCATTGGTTTTAATGGCTGCCTATTGAATCAACTCAATGGCAACTGAGAAAGGTGAGAAATTATATCCCTTTGTTGCTCTAATAAGCGTAACTTAACCAGTTGCCCACGAGTTTACTCAGACTCATGGTGACCCCATGCGCGCTAGAGTGGAACTGTGCTCCATAGGGTTTTCAATGGCTAATTTTTCAAAAGTGGATGGCCAGGACTTTCTTCCGAGGTGCCTCTGGGTAGACTTGAACCTGTAAGCTTTCAGTTACAAGCTGAGCACCTTAACTGTCTGCATCACCCAGGAACTCCAAGTATAACTACTTGAAGGGCTCAGTTTTTTGTTTTTTGTTTTTTTATAGGTACTGGCTATTTGAATTTAGTAAGGGGTATAAAACATGCTTTAATCATTTTTCTATTATGTTATTTGCCTCTTTCCTAACAGTTTGCAGATCTTTGTAAATTGATGTCATTAACCTTTTGTGTATAACATTTTACAAATCATTAATCACAATTTACTGCCCATTTTCTACTCTCTTTATATTTCTTTTTAACATATATGATCTGTGTTCTTTCCTATATGGCCTTTGTGTTTCCTGTCTTAATAATGACAACCCAAAACACACACACACACACACACAAATTAAGGTTATACAAATAGACTCCTAAAATTTATTCTAATATTTATGCTTTACATACAGATCTTTAATCCACCTAGGTAGGTCTATTTTAGGTGGGCCTCTCTGAGGAAGAGCTGAGACCTAAGCGGCAAAAACGGAACATTAGGGGATAAGGAAAAGAGACCAACAATGTAAATGTCTTCAAGCAGCAAAGAGCCTGGCAGGCTGGATGAGGAATCAGGGTGGTTGGCATAGAGCAATGGTGATAAAGTCAGAGGAGTATGGAGAATAAAGTAAGTATTGAAAGTGTAGGTGACATGACTTAGTTAGTTTGGCTTTGTGACGAAAAAGACATTTTGGCTTGAGAAAATGGATTTCTGGTAGTGTAACTTACTGAGTTGGGGAAGACTTGGGAGGAGAATAGGCTGAGGAAGCACCATCTTATCTCCGCTGTCCTAGATGTATTCAGTTTGAGAGGCCTGTTAAAGCTCCAAGTAAAGATGGAATTTGAACACACATATTTGCATTTCAGAGAAGAGGTCAGGCCTGGAGATGTAAAATTGGTGTATATAGATGGTCTTTTGAAACTATGGTACTGAACTGAACTCACTAGGGAGACAAAGTAAAGAATAGGGAACAGAACCAAGATCCAAGGTTCTAAAATTTAGAGTCTGGTCATCTTGAGATACGCAGATATTTATTTAATGCAAGGACAGTTTGTCATGAGGTAAGTCAGACCCCTGTACTTTCAGCTCTGCCACAAATACAGGAAAGAATGGACAAACTCACCCATCACTGAGATAGTGTAGTCACTGAGACAGTGTCACTGAAGTGTCCTTGAGATAGCGTAGGGATGTGGTAAAGGTTAAGCTCCGACTGGAAGACCAATACCATATTACCAGAGTCTGAAGCTTAGCACACACACTTGCTTCTTTCGGAAAGAGCCTCAACCATAAAAGCAACATGCATAAGTCCTAAGTGAAGTCTGTCCCCTTACTCTGCCCAAACTACAATTCAAACAAACTACTGTAAAACAAACATAATGAAGTTTAATGGAGTTCTAGGACCCAGGTTGGTGCAGTAGTTAAAGCACCTCAGGTGCTAACCGAAACGTCGGTGGCTCAAGCCCACCAGCTGCTCTGCGGGAGAAAGATGTGGCAGTCTGCTTCTGTAAAGATTACAGCCTTGGAAATCCTGTAGGGTAGTTCTACTCTGTCCTATAGGGTCACTATGAGTCAGAATCAGAAATGGGTTTAGTTTTTTGGTTTAATGGAGTCTGATATTTTTTCAATATGACTACACTTCTTCTATGTGTCATTTTAAGTCTATGTGTCATATTCCCCAATATCTTTTGCAGTTACAACAGTTATACTTAATTTAGGATCAACAGATGACAAACTTGTAGAAAGTAACCTAGTTCTAGCATTAAAAGGCATACTGCTTTTTATAACTGCTGACTATAAAATTCATCATATTTGTGGAAAAAAAAAGTTCAAATAATAGCAGAAATAAAATAGGAAGTTAGTGGAGATGACAGACAGAGTAAAGGAAAGGATATTTGTTCCATAAATTATTAGGAAATTAAAAGAGGGATATTATAATTGATGATGTATCAAATCAATCTGTTTGGGATGTCCAAAATAACCAAATAATAATTCTTTCTCAGCCTCACATCTCAGTAAATCCCTGGAATCAACTTTTATCCCTGGTGCCCAGGTGTGGTAAGTAATTGGGAGGTCTGAGTTTAGCATGTGCCTCAGTTTGCCCTAATTTAAACAGTCCTCCCCAGGGCCCTGCTCAAGAGCTGGAAACCAACTGAAGCTATCAAGAGTTTATTGCTCACTAGAGAATTTTTTCCAGAAGTGACTAGGACTTTTGGATATAAACAGTGACATTTCAAAGTGGAAGCTGAAGAAGCGTGTTGGAGTGATGAAGCATGTTGGGAAGGGGGAGCTAGGACAGTTTTGACAAACATCTGTTTGCAGAGCAGGCTCTTAGCACCTCTTAGACAAGACCTGGTCATCTGGAACCTTCTCTGTGCTTCTCTGAAGCTTCCAAAGCAAGCTGCTCATGCAAGTTGGATTTTCAGAAGGAATTTTTACTGGAAGGCAAAGATGCTATTAGCAGCCAGTTAGTCTGGTGGGTAATTATGTCTTCCCTGGTAATAAACTGACCATCTAGAACAAATAGTTTCCTAGCTGCCTAGCCACCAACTCAACTCATTTATTCAGTACCCAATTATCAAGTGTCTTTTGTATGCCAGGGTCTATGCTGACCATCTACAGTTTAATAAGATGAGGTTCTTGACCTCAAGGTCTTGCTAAAGATGATAAAACAAAATTAACACAATGTGTCACTCACTCCTAAATAATCAAATTCAAAGTTTTACTATCGGAGCCCAGGGGAAATAAACAAAACTCTAATATTCTGTAATCACTTTTCTTACTCCCCACAATAAATCAGTTTATCAGATCCTGTAGCTCTTTACTAAACTATCTTCCCCGTTTGTTTCACTTGTCCCACCCTAGATCAAAAATGTATTGGATTTTATGAGTTTACCTTGCTAACACGGTCTCGATTTACCTTCCTCCCTTTAAGTAGGTTACAAATTTTCTCTCTTCATTCTTCATAGCGTTTAGGATGCAGTTGGTAACATTCTTGTTATGTGGGCAAAGTTGACTGGTTATGTATTGATTATTTACTAGTTTATTTTTTGACTTGGGGTGGTGGTGGTGGTTGTTATAGAATAACCAGGGATTAGAAATACTAGTTTTCTGGTGTTGGAATTTAGACAAGTTATTTAAGCTCTGTCCCTCAATTTTCTAATCTTCAAAATGGGGATAAGGATGATACCTATCTTTAAGATTACTTGGAGAATTAAATGAGTTAATACACAGAAACTGGGTAGAACTGCCTAATAGGTGTTAGCCATTTTCGTTAGCACTCCTCAGGACCCACAGTGCTGAGCCCATTCTTTTCATCACAAGGTGAAGAAAGGCTGCCAAGGAAACTGGGAGAGGGTTAAGTATCTCGCCCAACGTCGCACTCCTAGTTAGCGGTGGAGCCTGGTTAGCTAATGAAAGGGATCTCAAGGCTCATACAAACCAACTCCACCCAAGAAGCCAAGTTTTCCAACATACAGGAAATGCTGAGCCGAAAGAACCCGCTCCTCAGCGGACCCCGGCCGGAACTCAGCGAGCAGAGAGTGGCCGCCCTGTCTCCGAGGAGGCCTCACTTCCCTGGTCTGATGGTTCTCAGCCCGGCTGCTCAGTAGAATCTAACTTTAAAAAGTCCTTGGAGATTCTAACGTGTGGCTAAGTTGTTTTTCCGCCCACTGTGCCCTCACCAAACTTTTGGAATCGAGCCGAGAATGGAGGGAAGGCGAGGAAGCTATTTCAAGACCGCGCGGCATCCGGTGCCACTATCTGTGAAGTGGGAGGTCGTCCCGGACAACCAGCCTCTGCTTGGACTCTCTCCTAGTACACACTCAAGTGTGAATACTAAAAACGATTCCTCGCGAAGCGCTCCAGTGGAGATTCGAGGGCATGTAAAAGGCTGGCTGTTCTCAGGCCCTCGGAGCCGGTGCGCGTCAGGGCAGACCTTGGCCCACTCGCCCTCACTCCCAGCTTACTCATTCCCCGTCAAAGCGCAAATCAGGTCACTCAAACCACCTAACAAAAGAACCCAGGGAAACAGTACTCCAAATATTTCTGCAGGGTCCCAGATCACCACTTCTCGGAGGAAGATCAGCTAATTTACCAGGTCTGTAACCCCAAGTTTTGGGGAGGCCTGAGGCCCTCCTCTACCCTCTTTTCCGGCTATGTTAGGAGCCTAGGCATTTGACCCTCTTAAAAGTTTTAACTTTAGTTAGCTGAATTATCCGGCACTGTTCTAGGGGCATTGGATAACTTAAGAACTGGAGTAAAATACTATCATTTACCCCCAGTTTATAGATGACAAAACAAGCCCAGGTTAGAAAGTGACCCTAGTAAAACAACTGGTAAACGGGGGAGGAGCAGCAATTCGATCCTAGATTCAGCAAGTATTCTGAGCCAACTAACTCGGGGAAATTATTTTCAGAGACCCACGTCAACAAGTCTTGGTACTTTATAAGCATTAACATGAACAGAACCTAGAACTCTCCCGTTATTAGGCAAAGCCGGGCGCGGCTGCAGCTTAAAAAGAAAAGCACCCTAGGTGGATTTGGCTAGAGGCCGCCATTTCGCTCCGGAGGAGCTTTGCCTTCGAGAACCTCCGAGTAGCTTGAAACAGGAAGTCGAGCACAAATTAAAGAGACGCAATGTGGGCTTACATTTTTAGTTAGACGTTACTAACTACGGTCAAATACCTCGTCTGTAAAAAGTATGTACTTGTAAAGATATTCTGAAATACACTAAATACTAGGATCAAAAAGAATTTTACCAGCTTCTACCGAGAGCCTAGTTTCTGACAACACCCAGCCTTTCCCCCCAAAAGTTAAAGCTTTTTAAAAACTAATAGTTTGTAGTTTACTTACCTTTGTATTTTCTGCCATTTTAACTTCAAAATATAAGAGTGACCTCAGCTCTTCTTTCGAAACCGTGGGGGGGGGCTCTGAAAAGAGCCTTTGTATTTGAAGTGTTTTCTGAAGCTCAGACACGTATTATTAAATTACTTTCCCTTGGCCTTATGGTGGCTCTCAGTCTTCTTGGGCAGCAGCACAGCCTGGATGTTGGGCAGGACGCCGCCCTGCGCGATAGTCACGCGGCCCAGCAGCTTGTTGAGCTCCTCGTCGTTGCGGATGGCCAACTGCAGGTGGCGCGGGATGATGCGCGTCTTCTTGTTATCGCGAGCAGCGTTACCCGCCAGCTCCAGAATCTCAGCTGTCAGGTACTCCAGCACCGCCGCCAAGTACACAGGTGCACCAGCCCCGACCCGCTCCGCGTAATTACCCTTACGGAGCAAGCGGTGTACACGCCCCACGGGAAACTGCAAACCCGCCCGGGAAGAACGAGACTTCGCTTTCGCGCGAGCTTTACCGCCTTGCTTGCCACGTCCAGACATTGCAACCAAACACGTAAAAGAAAAATAAAAAAAAACTCAGAAAAACAACCGACACACAAAAACAGAATAATCCGGGAAGTAGGTAAAGCACCGCCGCTTTTATAGGCATTTCCTGGGGAGTAAAGATTACTCTCTGATTGGCTAGAAGTAAGTAGCCAATAGAAAAGCTGCATTTCTATACATAATTTGCATAGTTCTGCCCCTGGATGACAGGTCCGCTGTCTGTCTTCCAATTAACTAAGACACTCTTTGCACCCTTCATTAGCATATAAGGCCCTATAAGTATCAGAAATCCGCTCTTTGTTCTTATTGTTTTCCCGGTGTTTTGAATCCTTAAAATGCCTGAACCAGCGAAGTCTGCTCCAGCTCCTAAAAAGGGGTCCAAGAAGGCGGTGACCAAGGCGCAGAAGAAGGATGGCAAGAAGCGCAAGCGCAGCCGCAAAGAAAGCTACTCCGTCTACGTGTACAAGGTGCTGAAGCAGGTCCACCCGGACACCGGCATTTCGTCCAAAGCCATGGGTATCATGAATTCGTTCGTCAACGACATCTTCGAGCGCATCGCCGGCGAGGCGTCTCGCCTGGCGCATTACAACAAGCGCTCTACCATCACGTCCAGGGAGATCCAGACGGCCGTGCGCCTACTGCTGCCCGGGGAGCTGGCCAAGCACGCTGTGTCCGAGGGCACCAAGGCTGTCACCAAGTACACCAGCTCCAAGTAAACCTGTCAAGTAAGCATCGTTACAGCTAACCACAAAGGCTCTTTTAAGAGCCACCCGTTTATCCACAAAGGGAGCTGTAATCAGGTTTATTTGTTTATTTTTTTAAAACGGTTTTGTTTTGGCGAGAGGTATTGCGCTCTGTTAATAGAAAATGTAAAGTGCAGGTATTCGTGGCCTTCCCACTTAATGGGAGTAAGGTAGTACGGAACTAGAATTCATGTACCAGTGTTTACAGTTTTGATGTCCCATGTACTTTATTTTGACGTTTGGGGCGGTTAAGCTTTTTTGTGTGCTGGGCTGTAGTTTTTGTGATTGTCAAAAATGTTAGTAACTAAGACTACTCTTTTTCAGTTAGGGGTCATTTACTGAAGATTCAAACTCAGACTGAATCTGCACTCAACCGCTGCAACATTTTAGCCTCTACTTTTCAGAGTTGTTCGGTTATGCTTAATTTGCATAGTACTCAACTTTAGTTGTACAGTGCGTCACTTAGGAGGTTTATAAACAAAATTAAGATTCCTGGTTCAATCCTCACTGCTTGACGTAATTGATCGGGTGTAGCCTGAGCATCGGAATGGTTTTTCATATGCAGGTGCTAGGGCAAGCTGACAAGCCTCCGTAGGCTGAATTGAAAGTAAATACTAGGCAGGGGTTGGGGAGGAGCAAGAAGCCAACAAACTTAGCAAAATCAAAGGTGCTCACTGGAGAAAAATTTCCAGACAACTGCAGCCTGGCTTGTGGTCTAGGAAATTTCTACTTTCCATTGAATACTTTTTCTGATGATCTTTGCTGCAGACAGACGTTTTCAGATGAAAGAGTGGAAGCACTTCTCCTGTCTGAGATTTTATCCAAGGCTAAAACACATTTTTGGCGCCTAGGAGTGAAGTTTGTTTTCTAGTAAAAACATTGGAAAATACAGGAAATAAAATTTATATTGAACAGAAAAAGATTACCAGGGCTTTGAACCAGTTCCTTTTAGTTCAACGCCCTGCTGAGAATTTTCATTTCCATCCCTAGGTATACTGAATCAGAATCCTGGTGATTCTTATGTACATATCTGCATTTTTACAAGATCCCCAGGTATGTGCATACAGTAAGATTCCCAGGTGTGTACATAAGAATCACCCAAGGAGCTTGTTAAAATGTAGATTCTGATTCAGTGTATCTGGGGTGGGAATGCAAATTCTCCGTAGGAGTTCGAACCAGAACAAACCAGTTCAAAGCTCAGATTTTTACCAGTTAAAACACCATGTGATTTAGATTATGAAATTACTTAATATGAAGACCACATGATCTTAAAACTGCAGTTCTCTTTGACACCTAAGAAACATATCTTATATAAAAAGGCCTGTCACTGGTGCCAGACAGGCCACTGTTTAAATAGCTCTGCCACCCCTGGCTGTCTACCTGGACAAGTTACCTGAGAAATTCTGATGAGAAACAGTGCAGCTTTGGCCTAATAAGGTGGAGGTGCTGATGGTGTAAGCTTGTCAGGCATGTTTCTCAGCCGGACTCTAAGATTTCCCAAAGTCCTTCAACACCTCAGATTGCTTTTTCTATGCTTCCAGTCCACCAGGTGCTCCTTGGAAACTCTTCAGGGGCAGTTCTACTCCGTCCTGTAGGGTCGCCAAGAGTCGGAATCGACTCCATGGCAACTGTTTTTTTTTTCAGTCAGGCCTTAAGGACTGATGGTCCTATCTAGACTAACCTGTCTCCTAACTGCCGACTAATCAGTTTACCCAAAAAATGTGCAAAGAAGATTCATTGTTCTCAGGCTGGTTGCAGATTTCTTTTCCTCCCTCTTCCCTCTTTTCTCTTATATAAATTCTGCTTTTGCCTTTGTGAGATGAAACAATTCTATTGCTTATTCTCACTTTGATACGCGTAAACAGCAAGCTAATTATTAACTTCTTAACCATTTATTTCTGGAGGTTCCACCAAGACATTGTCTACCATAGAAACCAATATGAAGGTCCCCTTGAGTTTTTTGCTCTCCCCTTAGGCTCCTTTGTTGTAGTGATTATAAACTTTGGTTCTTGCATGTGAAATTTTATTCTTGCCCAAGTTTGTTTCTCGTTCTGGTTCTGCTTTTGATTGTGTTTGGCTGATTGGCACACTGGTAGCAGTGATAGTGGAATTTGAGTTATGGCTTTTTTGTCAAATTATTAAGTAATTAATTTGGAATCTGATTCATTCATTATTTATTTATTTTGGCTGTTTGCATTTGAAGATTCTGATTTTCTCTGGCATTTGAGAACACAGAGTCAGGAAGTCGCTGTGTTTTTTCTTTTTTGACTTTGATGGTATCCACTGTGTTTGGTGTTATATGTTTACATATTGTGAGTTCCTGTAATTGTAAAGATGAGAGCCTCTTTCCTCCTCCCAAAACTTTTTTTTTTTTTCTTGTTTACTCATTATGGGTCCAAATACTTATCAATATTTGGCAAAATGGCATTCCTGTATCAAAGATGACATGAACATAAAATGGCCTCCTGTAGTAACTTTTGACTTTAATAAAGCATTAGGCCTAACAAGAGGCCCAGGAAAAGAAGGAAACCAAGAAAATCGAATCCCCAGCATGCAAAGGCCTGTCTCTTTACTTGCTATCTGGAAGCTTGTAAAGTTTATGATTCAGTCTTTCCAAATTAATGTCCCTTCAGGCTCTTTAGATAAGGTTAGAGAGGAGAGAGAAATTTATATCACTATATAGCTTACTTTTGAGTCAGAAAAAAAAAGGGCTCCCAATACCCATATAAAACAAAGATTTAATATTTTCATCTAAATATGTTTATTATAAAGAACTGAAAACAAAGCAAACCCATTGCCATTAAGTCTATTTCGACTCATGGCAACCCCATGTATTAACAGAGTAGAACTGCTCAATAGGATTTTCTTGCTTGTAATTTTTACTGAATCAGATTGCCAGGCCTTTCTTTCACTGCACCTGGGTAAATTTAAACCTCCAACCTTTCAGTGAGTAGTTGAATGCAAACCTTTCATGCCACTCAGTGACCTCCACTGTAAGGGATATGGCAATGGAAAAGAGAATTTCCTACCAAACTTAGAAAAGGGTCACGGAATTTACTCAGATTCTCACTAGTGGTGCTTCCTGAAGGATCTCTGATCCTAATTACATGCCTTTGTTTCTTTAACTGATCAGCATACTTAATAGATACCTGTGGCTCTGTTTCTCCCTACCTTAAATTCTGTTCATTATCACGATTAGCTCCTCTAAATTTGCACAAGACTTGAGAACATTTTCTGTTTTACAAGTATAAAATACATTTGAGCAAATTGTCTGCCTCTGGAGGAAATTAGTAAATTAAATTACATAAAGGTTAATAAACACATCAATTTAAAATAATAATAACCCAAATATTTCTAAAAAAATCAAAATTCTCCTTTTGCTTTAAGTGGGCTGCCTTTTTAAACTAACTCAGATTAAAAAAAAGTTTAACAGTGAGTTTATTTAAATGGCCTTAGTTATCAGGTTACAAGGTAATAAACAAAATAGAACTCTAAGTAACTTAAAAATTTTAATACCTACTGTGTAATTTTATAGGGAAAAGAACTACATAATGTTTCTAGTCAAGATAACTTTTTGGACAAATTAGCTGGCTTAATAAGTTTGCTTTTAAAATAATTCAATATCTTTTTCTTTATTATTATCATAATGTAAAAGTAATGTTAGCCCAATATTCTAGTATACACAAGTCTAGGATTTATTTTCTTTAAAAAAAAGTTTAATTAATTTGAATTTACTAAATTTCTTCCATTATGTTTACTGGCTGGGTGAGCTAACAATCACTTTATTTGTAATTATAACATTGTGAATTATGCATTCAACTAAATTAAATCATAATAGGTAATACTATTTTAAAACTAGAATTAATTTTTATAATGCTACAGATCATAAGGATTCAATGTGCAGCTAAATATTAAATTCAGAATCCATCAATAACTTTAATAACTTGCATGAATATAAATTAGTGATGCCCAATCTTTGGATACCTAGACAATTTCTAAATTGAAGGATACAAAATACACTTCACTAAAAACAAATTTAATCTATGCAAGTCTTATTTTTGTTGTTGTTGTTAGCTGCCGTTGAGGTGACTCTGACTCATGGTGACCTTATGTACAACAGAATGAAACTTTGACCGGTCCTGCATCATCCGCCTGACTGCCAGCATGTTCGAGTTCATGATTGCATCTATTGTGCCAGTCTGTCTCACTGAGGGGCTTATCCATGCCCTCGCTGGCCCTCTACTTCACCAGACATAGTATCTTTCTCTAGTAATTGATTCCTCCTGATGACATGTCCAAAACAAGTGAGTCAGACAATGTTCTGTTGTGATTCAGAAGGTTTTCATTGGCTAATTTTCAGAAGTAGATTGCTTGGCCTTTCTTCTTAGTCCATCTTCACCTGGAAGCGCCGCTGAAACCTGTCTACCATAGGTGACCCTGCTGGTATTTGATGTACCGGTGTCATAGCTTCCAGCATCACAGCAACATGCAAGCCACCACAGTACAACAAACTGAGAGATGAGTGGTGGCTAATATTTTTAAACGGTATAAAATATAGAATGACCATCAGTTATAGAATGACCATCAGTTAACAGGTTAGAGAATGTACAGATGCCTTTGGAGAATGGTAATAGACATGCATGTTTTTGTCACTTTAAATTTGTAAAAGGGATATGTACTGTGTACTAGTAGGCCAAGAGGGCCAGGAGGGTTTTGGATGACTGCCTCCTCCTTTCTTTGTGCCTGTGAGGGAACACAATTGCCTGCTCTGGTTAAAAAAATGAAAAAAAAGGAAAAAAAAAAAAAAAAAACAATAAAACCAAACCCGTTGCTATAGCATCAATTCTGACTCACAGACCTGGTGGCAAAGTGGTTAAACGTTCGGCTGCTAACCAAAAGGTCAGCAGTTTGAACCCACCAGCCACTCTCTTGGAAACCCTATGGGACAGTTCTGCTCTGTCCTATAGGGTCTCTATGAACTT